TTCACTGATAGAATGCTAATTAATGCTTCACAATGTCATATGCAAAAAATACTTGGGTCACAGTCACTGAATTAAATGAGATAAATGTGATACAGTGACCCCTCGCTAAGTCACGCTTCGGTAAGTCGCGATTCAGCCAAGTCGCGGGTACTTATTCTTATTCGAATACTGCCTGACACATGTGATGATACAACATATTATTTGAAAATATGTTTGTAACCTTTCAATTAACTTGTGTATTTATTAATTAAAATCATGATGCGTTTTAATAAAGAAGACACACTATTGATAAGTCACGGTTTTTGCTTGGATCCCGATACCCACGACTTAGTGAGGGGCCACTGTATTATTTTATGCGCATTACATGGAAATTTTATCATAGGGGTAAAACATGACTCGTTCAATTAGATAATTTCTTTCCTGTCCATTTTTTTTAAAACAATGTGTTCTAATGCAAGTTGAATGTGACCATGCCTTGACTACAGATGGGCCATGGGTGGGGTCAAATGCGCCTTAATATGTACAATCATTATTATCATTATCAATGTTTGAAAGTGATACAAGAAAATAGTATCTATACCCCCGGTACATGAAATCAGCTTAGCTGCTAGTACTCTTTCTTTATGATTTTGTACACAGAAGTGAATTATATATTTTCACCTCCAAGAATGATAACTCATAATTTGAACCTTGTATAAAAAATCTTGTCATCAACGAATATGAATCCAAGATGGATACAAACTAACAATGCACTCGCTTCCTGTAACAATCTTTTCCTTACAGGGCAAGAGTGAGAACAAACGTTCTGTACCAATACAATAATATATCTAAACAAAATTTTGCATCAAAAAAAAATACTGGCTAATATTTAGGTGCAAACATTTTGACCAAAAAATGATCAAGAACATTATGAGATCATTGTAATTAAATAAATAAATAATTAATATATGTGTTCCTCAATTAATACTACATGTACTGTATTAATCTCAATATCCCTTTTGAAATAGTGTAACATGAATCCTATGAAAGGTTCCCTAGATAGCAGTATATCTAAAAAAAAATTAGGGTAGAAAATCATGGGCACACTTTTTGGTGGAAAAAGTGATTGTCAATTTTTGGCAGGTTTTTACACTACATAATGAAAATAAATCAGGCTACAGACTAATCAGTAACAGATTATGGAAAGTATATTATTAACATGATCAGCAGTATATTTATTCACAAGACTGTGATTTATCCATATCTGTATATTTAGCCAAATCAAAACCCATATCATTAATCACAACAAAATTGAACTTGGTCAAGATCCCAAACTATAAAAGAAAAAAAAAAATTGCTTAAAATTATTGTAACCACGAGAAATAATTTATGCAGGAAACAGTTTCTCAACATGGATCTATTAATTGTATAAATTGCAAAAAGTCAAAGGAAGTATAAGTCTCACCCATCCCCACCACCCTTGGCTCAGTTCAGTTTTGAGTCCCTGTAATTTGTTATAGTTCAGTTTAAAACAGTTTCGTTGTATCTTATCTCATTCTCACTCTCAAAAATAATATGTGACGATGTAAACAAATAAATAAATAAGCAAGTATTTTATATACATTTTGAGTGGAACCATGTTGCTAAAATATAATATTGTAGCGCCGATTAGTGTATTATCAGTGCCGATGTGTAAGCAATACAACGCAATACTCTCTTTTCAATGTTATGGTGAAAATACGAACGTAACAGCTTACTATTACGTGCATCGCGTGCTTATAGCACTGAACTTGTGAAGGTCGGTCACTGACTGAGCCTGAGAGAGGTCAAGTCAGTGGAGTGACCGAGAATTATTAGATCGAAGACAGAGTTGAGTCGTAGAGTAGTCTGACAATGAATTAGTGAGAGTGAATTTAATAGTAATTGTAAAAAGCAGAAGGGTTTATGGCTATGATGTAGAGATTCATTCGATGTAGAACAACTCGTCACCGAATGTAGGCCAGAGATTTCGAGAGTAAGAGTGAAGTGAACAAATTTATAAAAAATATGACAGAAAAGCTGACAAATGTTTAATGGAAACGATAATACCCACCTAAAAAGAAAGTACGTACGGAGCACTGGTATTCGACGTAGAACACGGCGCGACCATATCAGTATGACGCACAAGAAAGCCGTCTGCTTTGTTATGATTTCTGCCTTTCGCCAGTTCTTGTGACACTTTATAGAGGTCAAGCAGTGCGCCCTCAATCGATCACGTTGTTTTATTTACAGAGAGCGCAAATCATAGTTTCGACTTTTTTTTCATCACAAGTGCACAATATTTTGTGTCAAAATCTGTCTGTAATTGTGTGGTTTAGTACTATTCAATAGCATGAAGATTTTTTAATCCACCGTAAATCTATTAACACTGTCAAATAATATCATAAGATGATACACCGGTCTACAACGAAAACACATTAAAATAATGTAAATGTTTCAGTACTTTTAAATACGAACAGGTACATAGTAGGACCCTATATATCATGTTTTTACAATCTCACCAACCACAAATATGAGTATATCTTTATCATAGGAACAATGTTAAAATGTCCTAAAACATTAAAAAAACGTGTCGTTTTCATTCAATTGTGTACACCGATTTTTTTTTTAAACTAAGTACTGTGGCCGCCTTATTTGAATTTTATTTTCTTCCATCTTGTAATAAGAAATGTCACATATGCAACAAGGAAAATAACATTGCTATTACCTTTGAGTAGGTTTCTATTAAATCACAGAAATGGGTATTTTATCGCAATTATTTCTCTATGTCAAAAACATGCGCAGAAATTAGTACTGGAATGTACGTAATAATAATATCTATTTTTTTTTTTGCGTTCTCATTACGAAGACACTAAATACGGATGTAGGTTGAGGTTATAACAATGAATTAGTGAGAGAGAAAATTAATAGTAATTGTAAAAATTGTTTCTGGTCGTGAAGTACAAAGTCATTCGGTGCAGAACAACTCGTCACCGAATATAGGTCAGGGATTTCGAGAGTAAGACGGAGTGAAGTGAATAAATTCAATAAAATTACGACAGAGAAGCTCAAAATGTGCAATGAAAACTATAATACCCACCCAAAAAGAAAGTACGTACGGGGCACTGATATTCGACATACAACATGGAGCGACCATATGAAGCACACGTTCAGAAAGCTGTCTGCTTTTGTTATGATTTTTGCCTTTCGCCAGTTCTTGTGATACTTTATAGAGGCCAAGTAGTGCGCCCTCAATTGGACACGTTGCTTTTATGTCATGCTAATATTTGCTATGAACGTCATTTCCTCCTCACGAGATGCCTTTCGGGTTACGAATATCGTGTTACGAAAACATCCAGTTTCAAAAATGACCACATCCGTAATTTAGAAAGCTTTACATACATTTTTGTTTTTGCTGAACGTCCACAATAACTTTACTTAACAGTTAACGATGGAACTTCGAGTTAATGAAGACAACATAATTTTGTTTGTTTTGTTTAACGTTGTATGTTTCCCCACAGTCACTCTACTAGTAGAGTGACTGTGGTTTCCTGTAACTCGAAGTTCGAGTAGTGTTAATTGAACACCGAGTTACAATTTGGGCGTGGTTTCATAAAAGTTGGCATGGTTTCTAAAATATGGGCGTGGTCACTTTTGTAACTCGATGTCCGTAACTCGATGTCTGTAACTCGATGTCCGTAACTCGATGTTTGTAACTCGATGTCCGTAACTCGATGTCTGTAACTCGATGTCCGTAACTCGATGTCTGTAACTCGAACAATTCAGCATCTCTTTCATCACGGGCCACTGGAGTTTGTACGTATTTGTGTTCGAACAAACAAATATTAAATTAATAGAACATAAATAAACACACACTTCTAAAAAGTTACTTGATAAACAGTTCTTTTGTAGTACCTGAGAAAGTGTAGCGAAACAAAATTGTGCATAACAAATTCTAAATAAGGCCACGCCTCCAAGTGTGCCGGTAAAACTGTACACACCGATATGACTTGATATAAATGTAGTCAGATTGTCTAGTTTTCTTATTGATTTATTCTACTAATATCGGTAAATATAAGTAAGGCGTTGGTGAAATTTGAAAGAGAAACTAACAATAATAATAACTTTCTTTCGTCTGTTTTTTTTAGTTCAAAAAGAAAGTGAGATGTTCGGCCCTAAACTCTTGAATTCGAGATGCTAAAACAACTATTAATTGCAAGAATCGGGGTATATAAAGGTTTGTCATCCCGATATGAGAATGAGTCCGAAAAGACAAATCTTAATATACCCTTCAGTTGCAGTTAATAATGGCTTATTATTTAAATGTAGCGACCCATGACGATAGGTTTTTAGAGGTGAGAATACACATTAATAAATCACATTCATTAGTATTATTATAAATATACAAAAGCATGTCGCCTTGCATTACGTCATATTACCATTCTCAAGCCGTTGCTATTGGTTGAAGCCGAAGGCTGAGGTCAATAACAGTCAATTGGGGTTGATAACTCTTGTTATTGGCACTGAGCGCGGCCAATAACTATTATACTATATATTTTCCCAAACGCCGTAAGCAAATTAAAACTGAGACGCAACTATCTAAGAATCTATGTGCCAAAATGTGATGACATCAGAGGCCAGTAACACACAAATGGCACCAGAGACGTACGTTCAGAGGTTAATATAAATATTTATGAAACGATCATGTGACCTTTTTGACAATATCATTAAATGTCTCGTACTTTAAGGATATTAACAAGTGATAACAGATGATAATTCGTAATGTTTAAGTCATACATAATCAGATGCCCAACTTGAATACACGACCTCGACCTTCTTGTCTTTGGATTTGAA